GGCTCTCCCCGAGCCGGCTAAGGGCGAGCCTCTTGCTGTTCTTGTCAACGTCGTTCCTCTCTCTCTCTCTCTCTCTCTCTCGCGCGCGCGTCGCGCGTTGAAAAAGAAAATCTATAAACGGCGCTTCGTTGTTATCCTGCCGCGCGTATTCCTACGCCCCCGCCCCCGCCCCCGGAGCTCCGACTGCAATTTTATCGCCGTTAATTAACACTTCAACGTCTCGAATTATGGCGGGAATATAAATACCCGGAGCGTTATTACTCCGAGGTTGAATATCTCGTCCGCCCGCATATTCGCCGCCGTGAGTCAACACGCACGCGCGCGCACACGCACACGCGCACAATATGCATAATGCACACACATACATGCACACGGCAAGATGTGTTTTATACCTCTGTATCACATATCGATACTACACACGCGCGAGTGAACATTGCTTACCGATATATTACATTTAATCTGTATTCGAGCCAATTTAGTCCAAGTTTGTATTTTTGTTGTCCTCGCGGACTACGCGCGTTCTCACTCGCTCGCTCGGGCGCCGATTTCTAGCTGAACCGTAAACGAGAAGATAGATACGCGTATAATGTAAAACAAATATATATATATATATATATATATACACATATATATATACACACGAAGTAGAAATATGAGATAGGAAAATGAGAATTTTACCGCTCTCGCTCGGCGAAATGCGAAAATTCCGCGTAAAAAACACACTCGCGCTATGTGTATAAGTGTGTGTGTACTTAAAATGTAAAACGCGCAACATTTTTCCGTATAATAGCAAAGTAAAGCAATTTATTGCTTTACACTTTACAGCCGTCGCGGAATACAAAATTTAGCAGATCAAACGTCGGCTTTCACGCATCGCGCGAGCGCGCGCGCGCGCTCTCGTCCTTTTGCTCGCGCGTAATTCCAAGATGCGGCCCTTAGCGCACGTATGTGTGTGTGTGTATGTGTGTGTGTGTGTGTGTGTGTGTTGCTTTTTACCTTGCGCAGCGCCTACAGCGGCTGAGTAACCAAAGGCAACGCGGCGAATAATTCAACGGACCGCGAAGCAAAGGCACCGGCAAGAAGTGTTCGAGTGAATGCATATCCAATTACAGGACTCTGTGCGACCAGCCGGGCGATCTTTGAAGCCGAACTTCCAAACCGATTGACCTACCTAATTCCGCTTGCGCTTTAATGAGTTGCCTTCGGCCTTCCTGCCGATGAGACGCTCGGTTTATCCCATTAATCTCGGCTCGTCTTGGCAGCCAAGTCCCCCGTCGTTTAGCGAGACGATTAGACCCCGCGAAATTCAGCAGGGAGACAATCCGCGCGCGACAATACGCCGGTGAGTCGTCGCGGGGCTCAAGGAGGAGAGGGCGAGGGGTAGGCAAACACACCGAGGAAGAAGTACGCGTTCTCATTCGCTCGAGGCGGCGGATATCGCGATGAAATTATGCATATATATATATATATATCGCGAGCGCATTGACCCAAATATATGGCACGCCGCGAAACGGCTTCGAAACGGGCCGATTGCAGCGCGTGGCCGAGGGCGCTGATGAGAGACCGACTAACGAAGAGTCGAAATGCATACGCGATGCTAATTATATGCAGTTCCGACATAACGCTCTTGACGCGCGCGCGCGCGCACGCTCGTGCGAAGAGAAAAAGTCGAGAGAGAAAAACGCTCGTAGACGAAAAGAATGTAAAACGACTGGATGTTGCCGCTCTTTCTCTCGCTCTCCTCTCTCTTCCAACCTGGCTCCCTCCCCCCGCTCCTCTCATCTATGTTGGAGCTTGCTTCTTACCGAGCTGGTAATTTCATTGCGGACATTACTACAGGATATAAAGTTACGTGTATCCGGATACTTACGTCGCAGCAGCAATGAGAGAGAGGGAGGGGGGGAGGAGAGGAAGAGAGCAACTTTAAGACGAGCACTTTGCTTCGCGCGCATTTTTATGCGGCACGCAGCGCGATAGCGGCGTAGAGAGCGAGAAGAAACCGGAAAAGCGTTTCAATGCGTCGAAATGTCCCCCGACTGCCGCGAAAAGAACGGAAACGCAAAAATGGATTTTAATATACTCCCTTTATGAGCCGGCTGCAACCGGGCGACCGTGATAAAAAATCAACGCGTCGGAGGAGAAGAGAAAAAGAAAATCGAAAAAAAGAAAAGGAAGAGAGAGAAATGGAAAACAAGAAACACACGGGCGAAATTTCCATTTTCCAATTCCGGGCTTGTTCGAAATGCCGTTTTCGTGCGCGCGAAGCGGGCGCGGGCGCGGGCGCGGGCGGCGGTTTTATCGTATATTAATATTCCGCTACATTATTACTCGCCATTGTTTCAAGACAACGCGTCACGAACAGTTGAATTTTGCGCCGCGCTCCCATTATCCCGCACTTTTATTCGTACATTTGCGAAAATGTAATTTCATCGCGGAAAAATTCGCCACGCGTCGCGATAGCGTCCCTCTCCGCCTCTCCCTCCCCCCCTCTCCCCGCCGAGGGGATAAATGGAGCCGGGTTGTGTTGACGTTGCGGCGCGCGCGCGCCCTCGCTCGTGGATTAACTAGTCATGGAAATAATAATTCATCCCGTCGCTCCCCGTATGTAATTACACAATTATGCGGTTATTTATAATTGAGTAGAATTAATCAACTGCCGCGCCGCCGATATATACGCCTCGCGGCGGAGAGAAACCGCGACATAAATTTTCATAATCTCGACGTACCCGGGGAGGAGCGAGAGGGGCGGAAGGGGAGAAGGGGACGAGGTAGACTGATCTCGTCTTGACATTCGCGCGCATTACCTGCATGTAACTTTGATCCTGCCACCGTCTGGTACCACATCCCCAGGTATGGCGTCTGTGTGTTGCGCACTGCCGATCACGAAGCAGGCGTGCAATGACACGAGCGGAAGCATGCAAAAGCACAGACATGCGAGACACGTGCGGAAATTCTTGCGTGCAGTTCGAACGTCGCGAATTTCTTCAGGCGGAGCGCAAACTCGCAGCGAAACGGACGAAGATCAAGTACGGCGAGACATTATCGGCGTCCCCGATAATGGCTTCGTCGCGATCTTCCGAGAGAAAGAATAGAACGAAAAGATACACAATAGGGCAATAATCGTAACAATAGCAATATTTTGCAACAATCGTAGTAATAAAGATAGAAAGAAAAGATGCAATCTTTCTGATTATCATTTCTCTCTCTCTCTCTCTCTCTCTCTCTCTCTCTCTCTCTCTCTCTCTCTCTCCAAGTCATATATTGTTCTCGTTTCGCGGGACAAAAGGCCTCGGAAAAAAGCTCATGAGCTCGCGAAGAAGACGAAAGCCGTATGAAGGGGATTTAAATGCACAAGAATAAACAAGGCTTTTAGACTTACGAGAGCACGAAGGGAGAAAAATGAGAGGTCTCGACGCGGCGATATGAGCTCGCAAGGATAGAAAAAAGAAAATAGGAGAAAAAAGCGCGAACGAAAACGTCACGTCGCGATCTGACTGCGAATCCGTGCGAATCAAATCCGCGCTCGATCGCGTGTACGAGCTTTTACCGCGCATGCGTGTCGGGATGTCTGAGGCGCTCCTTAACTCCTTGACACGGCGGAAACACAATAGCGCGTTCGCAAAAAGTGCGCCACCCTGGTGGACACGCAATTTCGTGTGTGCGACGTCTCTCTGGTGGCTCGATATTTCTAAAAATGGACGTTTGAAAATTCTTGCGATTGTTCCGTATTCAGTGGCGAATTTCGAAGATAAAAATTGGAAATGGCGACTTCTCAAAGCAAAATATGGATGATCCAGGGAAAAAGCACTATCCACGTAGTACGTAACTTATCGTTACAAATTATATTCACTCGTTATTTAGATATTTCGCTACTCTGGATAAAAATGTCATGCATTTTCATTATTAAACTTTCCTCGCGACAGATGTCCGGTTTTATTCCGATGAAGTAAAAAAAGCTTCTTCCACTTTGAATTTCAACACTTTTTGCTTCGTATCCGTAAACAGTCGCGACGTCAAAAGGGAATGCCTGGACACGGAATTTCGATGAAATCGCGTAACTTTGAAAAATTCATTTTTCGCCGGCGAAATTCAGCTCGCCAGTCAAGGGGCTCGCGCGGGAAATTAGCCGTAATTATCGAGAGCCGCGTTATTATACGCCGCTGTCCCGTTTCCCATGCATGGATGAAACACAGTATAAGAAAGAACAGTAGGTTCACTCGGTGGCGGTGCTTTTGATCTCAGATGCTACAAAACCGCCATGTTGTTGGTTGTGCGCGAGTTATAATTTGAATGACAATGAATAGTAGCTAAAATAGATTTATTGCTGTTTTTCAATATTTACTGTCAAATCTATAATACACATTGTAAAATAATATAAAAATATGAACTATTATTAATATAACATATTAATAATATTATAATATAATAATATTATAATAATATTATCATTAATAATATATAGCATATTATTAATTATAATATAGAAGGATGTATATGTATATATATACAGGATGCTAAATTTCAAACGTAACAGGTAAAAAATCTCGAAAACTAAATGATATTGAGGTCCGCCTTTTTTTTATATTGTATCGTCTCGAAGGGGACACATTTTAATTAAAACAGAATTTAACACTTTGCAAATTTAAATGTGCACTTTTGCAGTTTATTATACAACACTTATACCCACCTCTTTCGTTCATTTTACTGATTTTAATAAAACAACAATAGTATATTAAAAATTCGGTCGTACAGTTAATCGTTGCTTACACTTACACATTTTGACAGCTATTGGCCGCCATATTGTTGATTGTGCAGTTCGGTCATGCGCGACAAACGACCGTTCGCACTATTTGTTTGTGCTGAGTGAACCTACTGTTCTTCCTTACACTGTGCCGAAACATTACGGAGACGCATGCGTGCGCAAAAACAACAGCGTTCGCATTCCCCAAGTGAAGAGACGGAGGCGGCGAGGCGCGCCGGGCGCGCTAGAATTCACTCACCGTCGTTGTTGGTGCGGGCGCGCGGCGGGGACGAGCTGACGGTCGGAAAATTTCTGGAGACATTATCCCGCGGCTGCGGCTGCGGTCCTTCGAGGTTCGGACTCGGACTGAATTCCGACCTGAAGTCCGTCCTGTCGAAACCCTCCTCGAACTCGTGCATCTGCTCGATCTCGTCCGACTCGACCTCGCCCTCGTACTGCTCGCGTAGCACCGACCTCGGAACTGCAAAAGCGTCAGGGAAAAAAGGTAAGTTACAAGTCTGCTGCTGCCGCGTGTAATGGACTCCATCAGCGGCGCATCAAATATACAGAGAGGCGCACCATCACGTTTGCCGCGCAAGATCGCCGATGCGACGAAAGAATCTGGGAATCTCACGCTCGCTTCTCCCTCCCCCCCTCCACGGTGATAAATTGGTTGCCGGTACGCGGCTGCGAAATTTCGGCACCGCCGTGAACACCGGCGGCGTGTCGCGCTGGGGAATAGAAGCCGCGGATGCGGCTGCTTGCGAAATCATGAGGAGGGTGCGCCGCGCGACGAAGTTGAAATTTGCATCGGTCGCTATATTACAAGTCTCCCTTTATTTTTCCCGGCTTCTCTCTCTCTCTCTCTCTCTCTCTCTCTTTCTCTGGCAAACGAGAGATATATCGAGCGCTGAAAATTCCATCGGAATCATCCCGCGATCGCTCGACTCATCTCGCCCTTTGGAATTTCGGCAGCCGATACCGCGCGCACATTCTGCGCATTCTATTCGCAGTAGTCGGTTCTAAGTTCGCGCGAGCTTGCGCGAGCTTGCGCGATCGCGGCGCAATGAAGCGCGGATAAGCGTCGATTGGATCGAGGCGCAAACGTTAACGTTATGCGCGCTCGCAAATAAATCCGTTCCATGATGTGTGAGCGCGCGGCGGCTAATACCTGTCAGTAATAATGTTGCATTCGCAGACCCGCCCGCTCGCCCGTCCGCTCGTTCGCTCGCGGTATCGACTCGGAATGAAATGCCACCGATCGCGATACGCAATCGTGATCGTGCTTACTCGCTGCTCCACTCATTTTTCATCACCCGCGTTTCATGCGCGTTGCCGCGCTTGTAATAAACCTTTGCCGCTCGCCAGGAGTGAGAGCTCCTGAATCCGCGACGTGAAATAGTTCCGCCGCGGCGCGGCGCAGGAGCGAGCGCGCGGAATAACGCATAGAAGCGAAATATGACGATGTATCGTAGGTATCGGCGAAATAGCGCCGGCCAATTGGGAAATTATGGAGATTTTGCGACAGCGAAAGTTCATGTGCGACTGGGAGTGCATCGGCGCCAATCGACGCGTTGGTACTTCTAATTTCGCTTGATCTCAATTAGCGTCCTCCGACACGCCGCAGTCGCGCACCTGCGATTTCGCGCTTGAACGAGTAGAAATCACAATAGATAGGGGATAGATGAGCATAGGGGATAGATGGTCAATTGTTACAATTTTGTTAATATATGCTAGGCGTCAACGCTGATCGGTCAGTTGTGAATCAGTTGGATGTACCACGACTAAGTGTGTCTCTTCCTGATGCACAAAAGCACTGTTATTGTGAGCAAATAAATGTTTGACGTTTCTATTAATCTCCAAAATGTTTTACACGTCGGAAAAGTACCTTCCAACCAAATCAAGATTCGGGGGTTTTTTGGGTCGCTGATTACGAATCTGAGGTCCAAATTCCAAAATTAATTTTCCAAGATGGCGGATCCAAGATGGCGGGCCATAGAATTTTTATTAGATTAGCTAAAATTGTACTCTGCTTAGTTTTTGAGGTCGTTGATTACGAATCTGAGGTCCAAATTCTAAAATTTATTTTCCAAGATGGCGAATCATAAAATTTTTATATGATTAGCTGAAATCGTACTCTGGTTAGCTTTCAAGGCCGTTGATTACGAATCCGAGGTCCAAAATCCATTGTCACCGAAATTATCGCGATTTTTCATATTTGTGGCCGCCATTTTGAATTTTGAAAATCTGATAACGGATTCGTCATCAGCGACCCTTGAAACCCCCGTATATAAATCTTCATGTGATTCGGATTTTCTGAAAAATACGTCCCTCAAAGAGTTAAACGGCTAAAGAAACATCGTATTTGCGTACTTCACTTCAATATTCGTCACCGAGACTATGTTTCACGCAGTGAAACGCATCTTTACGCGAACTTTCCAAATGAAATAAGTGGTTCATTTTTATCAGGGTTAGATAAGCAGTCTATTCAACGAGAAATAGCGAGCAATGGACGTCGGATCGACGTTTGCCAGATGCTTTAGACGTATAAAACACGTCGATCCGATTATCTATTCGACTATCATCATTTTTCCCTGGGTATATACCTGACATTAAAAACTTCAGTACATTTTAAACAGCTTCTTGTTTCGTTGAAAGATGCCGAGTAGATTTCTTTTTCCTTTCTCTCTTTAGTAAACAATGTTTTCCAAAGGGCTTTTTCTGTGTTACCACTTTTCAACCTTCTCTCCAATGTTGTCCTTGGTTTCTACAAGAAGCTTATGGAAACGTTTTATTTTATTAATAATTAATAAAAGGATTAATAATTAATAAAAGAATATAAAATACTAAAAAGATAAATAAAGATGGACAAATTTCTACATTATTACAGGCATACCCAATTATCCCTTCACACCCCTGACCATCTATCCCTCACGGAATATTTTTAATATTTCGTTATTACTGGCACATCCCATGAATGTATTTTTCACAAAAATTCTCCTGTACCTTAAACATTATCCTCTAATGCATTAATACATTGTTGATCATTTATTGCAATAATACAAATGTGTCATTTCCAATTAAAAACACACTATATCCATTTATCCTAGACTTACCCTAATGTAGCGACGAGAGTATCGCACCGATCATGATTCTAATACGTCTAATACGTCAGGTAGCTGGTAGTAGTGAAACGAAATGTTTATAGATTATTGACTTTTTCTTCTCGCTATATCCCGACGGAGCAAATGTAGACGTTAACGTGGAGCACGCAACATTTTCAAATTTGCCTTGGAAGGAAAGAAGGAGAATTAATCGGCCTCGGTCTGATCTGAAATTCCCATTTTGTCTCGAGTAGGAGATGCAGTCTCCTCGAGGAAATTTCAATGCTGCAAAATGTTTACCGACTTCGTCGATGCGGCGCGTCCCGAGAGGGAACGCCGAGCGATAAATTAACTCGCAGGAGATAGCCGCCGCGCGCACCGAAACACACGCTCCGTGCTCGGCGGGAGACAGCGTCTCTCATGTAAAATCTCTCTCACTAGCCCGCTTTAAAATAATTTCCGCCATTTTGCCGGAAAATTTCCGCACGGTAATCCTGAAGCGCGCGGCGTAGTCGGCCTCTTCGCCGGATTAAAGGCAAATGACGCGGCTACATAAACGGCTGAACTAGCTGCGGCGCGATGTAACTTGTTTACTGCAATTAATAATTGTAATTTAACACCAATTTTGCGGCAGTACATGCTGCGACGGGTTATATCCGATCTTGGGGCGCTGCTGAGCGCACCGCGTTCGGTCGGTGCGAGCGGAACGCCCGTGACGCTTTAAGCCGGGTGAATACATTATGACCCGCGTCCACGTATAATGGAACGGAGAAAATGCGCGGGCCCAGGGGGAGCGAAGAGAGGGCAAGATGTGCGGCTGAGCCACTAACGCGCAGCCAGTGTAATGTTACACGCCAAGTATCGAGGCAAGAAATATTTCGCCACCGCGCGCGTCGTCGCCGGCGAGAACACGTATCGCTTAACACCGATGAAGACGCTCGAAGAGGAAGTAATACTGCGATCGCAGTCGTTCATTTGCAAAAGAAAAGAGAAACAAACAACCGACTCGTAAGGCTTGCGAAATATCAACAAAAAAATATACAGGGTGCTAAATTTCAAACGTAACAGGTGAAAAATCTCGAAAACTATGGAAGATATTAAAAGAAGCTAAAACACGTGTTCCATGGATTTCGAAGGGGAAAGAGAATGGCATTATCAGCTTTTTATTTAGAGGGCATTTTCAAGGTCAGTTAAAAAGGTCAACTTAATTCTTTCTTTAATGGAAAGTCTAATTTTTTATTATATCTTCTTTTTCTACCAATTAATTTTAGCAACTTTTGTCGGAAACATTTTTTTATCTGCCTAATATTTTTTCAAATATTTTAGGAAAACTTGACAACTTTTTCAACATTTACAACCTACGATGTCTCGCTAACTATTCGTCGAAAGAAAAAATAGTATTAGACTTTTTTACTTTATTTACTATCAAGAATATATTATTATAGTGCCCTAACTTTTGTTAATTTAATAATTTTGAAATTTCCAAAGGTCGATAAGTTAACGAAAGTTAGGGCGCACTATTATGTTTCAGACGAAAGTTGTCCAAATTAATTGGTAGAAAAAGAAGATATAATAAAAAATTGGGCTAATGGAACACGTGTTTTAGCTTTTCTTAATATCTTTCATAGTTTTCGAGATTTTTTACCCGTTACGTTTGAAATTTAGCACCCTGTACACGTACAAAGAATGTTTTGTACAATTCGAACACGTGAAGTATTCCTGCCGCGTTTAATGATACGGAAAGAAAGTCCGGGAAGAAAGTCGTGCATAAATGATACATTTTTACATACTCCATTATAATGGAATCATACGTATGCAAAATTCGTTCCCGCGTGTTCGCCGTATCGTCAAACACAACGGAAACATTTCAGGCGACCAAGATACACGAAGCACCCTGTGTATATAGAATGTCCAACGGTAGATACGACGACGTCCCCCGTGCGCTTGCAGATTAAATCAAACTAAACAAACGTCCTTTGTCATTTCGCAAACAACCGTGTAAAACGTCGAGTTATCGATGTATGAATATGCGTGCATGTATATTTTTCTAGCAGAAGAAAAATATTCAGGAATAAATATTTAGCATCGTCTGTCCTCTCACGCGCGCCGGCACCGCTCTCGACGTGGAAGCTCGACGTGGAAACCCGCAGAATTGTTTCCGCGCGGCACAACTCGCGGCTTCTTCTAATCATTTCCCTCAGTTGGACCGTGATTCGCGCGCGGGCAAAAAGAAAATGGTGGCCTTCTATTTTCACGCGCGCTGTAGGCATACGGAAGAGCGCGCAACGACGACGCGCGCGCGCGCGCGCAACGGCCGAGAAGTATAGCTTACTCGCGCGGCAATTAATTATAGTAATTTAACACCAATTTCGCGGCA